ATTCCACAAAAACTTCTATCGATCCAGACACACACTTAAGAAAAAAAAAAAAGAAAAACTTCACCCTACCAATGCTTACGTTTAAACACCATTCGGCAATAATTTTCATGGAAATTGTTATTAAGGAAGACATGTTCTAGCGTAATAATATTCTAAAAAAGAAAAAAAAATGGTTTTCATGGCTTCCAGGCATTACATTAAGCATCCTAATCATGAAAGTGACTCGATTCATTTCTCCGCCAAGTACGAAATTTTGTATTAAAAACTAAAGTGTTTACTCTTGTGGGAGATTGGCGAGATTAAAAATTGAAAATCGCTTAACACGTTTACGAATTTCGAATTTAAATTCCGTGAGTTTAAAGTTTTGAATTATACTTGTGCGAAGTGCACAGACGACGAAGTGGTTGCAGGTGGACGTTTCTCAGCCAACTAAAAGGCAACGTCGCTATTGGTCGATTTTTAAACAATTCGCTATTTTTAAAAAAAAGAAATTAAGTATATATTCCTTCAACATAAAAATTTTTTTAATTTTATAATTTAAAAATTAACTTTTATTATTCATTAATATAATTCTAAAACAAAACAAAAAAAAAAAAAAGTTAATGTTTTGTGTTTAAAAACAATTGTTCTAGTATAGTGTCTCCCTATTCTTACACGCGTAAAATGTTGCCAGTTTATACATCCACTCGTAATTAATCGTATTTTTTAAATATAAAAATAGAAAAAAATATATATACTGTATATTAAAAAAGATGAAATTTAATAATACGTAAATTAAAAACTATTTTCTAGCGTTGACAAAGACATCTGTTCTAAAATGAAACACATTGTTTATTTCTTTATATTGTTTAAGTTTTAAAATCCTTTCTGCTATATATTTTTATTATTTGTTTTATAAAAATTCGAGCCAAATCTTTGCAGAAAGAAATTCGATACGAAAAGAAGTTTAGAATTAACGAATCTTTTCGTGTTCAGTTCGTGGATAATTCCCTCCCTTAAATGTTTGTTTGCTTCATCAAATGATTTGTTTGGCGTAGAATAGCTGATTAGAAAGATAAAAAAAAAAAAAAAATAGAAAGAAACATCTAATGATTTATTATTGTACATTTAGTTGCAAACATAGAGAAAGATAATAGCCAATCATTGTTTTCTCTCTCCCTCTCCATAGAATAGCTCCAACATTTAGCAATAATGCTACAAGAATCTGCACTTCCTTTTCTACAAATCGATTTTACTTTACCAAATTTATAACTTTATTTATTTCAATTAAAAATTTATTTATTATTTTTTTCAAAGCCAACAGAAAAAGTATATATATATATATATATATATATATATATATAACAATCCCTTTCTGTACTTAACTTAATTAATGTAAGACGATAGCAAAACTCGAAAGCTACCCCCATGGAAAAGTGATTAATTTGATGAAGAAGAATAAAATTGTCACCTGTAAATATTCGAATATTTTTCTTTTTTTCCTGTTCGTTAATAATAATAAAATTGCGGTTTTGTAGTGGTAAATTATTAGAAAAACTATCGATTTTTTTTCCAGTTGAATAAGTGAAGAAAAGAAAAAAAAATTGCTGCAAATCTGCTGAATAGTCAATAATATAGTCGAGTTGTAAAGTAAAAGAAGTGACGTGAGATTTTGTAATGAAAGGTGTCAAAGGAATAAATCGAATATACCAATTCTTTTTCTTTTTTAAGCTTTTTGACAGATCTAATTTCATTAATATTATCAGAAGTCAGGAGATTAATGCAAAAAAAAAAATGCCAGTATGTAATTTGATGAGAATCTGAACCCAATACTTGTAAATTATTTATCGCCAGTCGCAAATTCATTGGATAAATGATATAAATTACTGACGTGTTACGTTCGTAATATAACGATTATTAATCACCCCCTTCCTGTTGTTGTTTTCAAACCGATTATTTTTTAAAATATTTTTAATTATATATAGCAAAATAATTCATATCGATTCTATTTTCCCTGCTGTCATATAACAGAGGGAGAGAGTGGCGATAGGTCAAAAAATGACCCCTCAAAAATGTTTAATTTTTGAATTCAGGGGACCTTGAAATAATGCGAAAAAGTGGGGGGTTTTGTATGTGTGTGTGAGGGATACACGATTTTTTTTATCCACTTTAAAGCTTAATTAGTCCTCAAAAGTTTCTGAAATTTTGCAGCAATGTTTGTGTATTAGGAAGAAATGTTTCTAGAAATTTTCAAGAAAAATCACACTATTGATTCGGGAGATATTAAGGGAGTGGGCTATATCTCCCGAACCAATCTGAAGACTTATAAAAGGTAGCAATTATTAGGGATGAAAACGAATAAAAAATGCCGTGAAAGTCCAGAAACAACGTTTCCAGCTTTTTATATAACGTTTTAATACTTATTTATTTATTCCTTTTTATTAAAATAAGCTGAAAATAAGCCGAAAAGCCGATAAGCATTCCTAAATGTGACGTAAAAGAACGAGTCTTTCTACGCACGTAATTTGCACTATACTTTAAAAAAAATAATTAGAAAACAAATGAAAATATCTTCTGTTAGATGTTGCACGCTACAGAATATTGCATTTTGTTTACTAATCTCGTTTGTGGATGATAAAGCAAAATTCATCCATGCGACAATTTATCGATTTGCTTCTATACAAACACTAACAATAAATGTGGGTGAGGTTTAAGATTCTCTTCCTCGATTCCATTCGGTTGTTTGAAAAGTTTATATTTTATTTTTTTAAACGAATTAACTTAATATTCGACAGGAATTTTATCAAATGATTGCAACTAAGAATAATTATGGCTGGCGGATGTTCATTAAAACAATTTCTTTCGTATTTGTTACAATGTGACGTTAGATAAATCACTCTAATTTCGAGTTGTTGTTGTTTCATTAAAATCACAACTCGTTAATTATACTCCAAACTCTCCCTTCTTATAATTATTATATTGTTATTAAATTGTTACAACGTGAGATGCGCTGACGAATAATTAGGTTGATCTATTCGAACGTGTATTTATCGCTTCTATATAAAATCTACCGCTTCTTAATTTGTAAATTAATCTTTATAAATATAATTGAATATCATTAAAGCCGCTTTACTTCAAACGGTGACGTCGTTTACATTCGACAGCACCGGAAACTGCGATGTCAACATCCGGTTTGTTTCCTTTTTTTTCGGTTAAATCAAAGGAAGAAAAAAAACGAAGAAGACGAAATTGTATTAATTAAGTAAAACGTCTCTCGACTGACAAAAAGCTCAAAGTTTGTTGGTTTCTCCATTGGATAGGAAAGAAAGAAGATCAGTAAAACAGTCAATGAACTCCATCCCAACTGGAAATTTGATTTTTATTGATTTGTAGATTGCTGACATGACATTCGCTTCAGACCAATTCATTTATTTAAAAAATATCTAAGCAACTTATTCATTTTGTTTTCATTTTTTTCGTTTCTTCTTCTATCCAAACAAAACACAAACCAACATTAAATGTCAATCGAGTCAATGGTTCTCGCTCAGGAGAATTTATTATCAGATACCGCGAAGATGTTTGATTTTTTATTTATTTATTTATTTATTTTGTATAAATAATATTATACGATTCAAAAGATTTGGTTTATTATTTATTGTTACTATTTTACAAGAGGAACCGACGCGCGCCCATTTGTCCTTTTCTGTAGAAATTTAATACTGTTGCGGCATTGATTTTCGTTTAACACGTTACACTTTTCACCTCGTTGGAGTATAACAGAAATTGTTATCATCGTCGATGCATTATTAGTATTAATAAACAAGGAAGAGTGATTGCAATCTTCCGTCGCGTGAGGATTCGCCGATCGTGTCGCTTGGCAACACTTTAAGATAATATTTGCTTTGCCTAAAAAATAATTCCTTTTTTTTTAATGTTTACTAATTACCGATGATTTATATTTATTATTAATATGTTATTTTTAATCACCATTATTAATTTAACAAAAAAATTACGTGAATGAGAATATAAATTTTAAAAACGATTTCCTATTATAGTATTATTATTATTTTTTTAATTAAATTAACTTTACTGTCACGCCATCTATCGAGTGGTAATTATATTAAATTCAAAATTCGGAACCAAGGTCTCGAAATGAGATTCAAACAACATGGACGAGGGAAGACGGTTCAGATGCGCTCCACTTATCACATCTGCTATCGGACATCATCGAATGACACATCGGTAGCGAGAGAAGTAGAGTATATTTGAGTTATTGGTTATGGAAATTGATAATAAAATCAAATGGATAATACGGATAAATAATGGATACGATTTGATCTTATTACATAAAACGTGTCTACGTGTGTCTGTCTCGTCTAGAAATTCGATTATTTACAGTTATAAAATAGCTAGAGGTGAATTTGTTATCGCTTCTATGTGGAAAATTGAACGACTTAGCAGTTCACCGGGTTACGACGCACAACACGCTTACCTACAATTGAGCCCGAGATATAATATAGCAAAACATGAATTGATTTTTCTACATTTCCAACATCAGTCGGCAACTTGCCAATTGGCAAGGACGCAAAAACTAAAGCTGGGAGTATCTGTTTATTATTTAAAAGAGGATTTTATCCTTTTGTATCGCTTATACCTGCAATTGACGTTTAAGTACTATCTTATGCAAATATTATTAAAAAAATATTTAATTATTAGACATAATCTTAGTTGGAGATAAACAGGAATCAGAAAGAATTTCTTCAAGAATGGAAAGACTAGAAATGCGCGAATTTAAGTATGGATGCAAATATAGGCATAATGCATAAACGTAAATTAGAGATAAAAATAAAGATCGATAATATCGCAATTGTATCTAAAAATACTCTCGAATGCGAATGCAAAATAATGCATTTTTTATCTCTACACTATAGTATATTTAAATCGAGAATTTCGCCTGTAAATCCGTTTTCTCCTCGCGACTTCGGAGCCTGGCTAAGAAGAACCAATGCAAATTAACTCACCTTCTACGTTGTGTGATGTCTTTATCCAAATCTTGAGCGCGTGCCATAACAGACAATATCATTTTTCTTTCTTCTTCCGATAGATTACTCAAATCAACATCAGGTGGGGATGCCACACCTACGTCTTCTTCCTCCGTACCTGTCCTGTGTGAAACCATAGCGTTTGACTGTGGTCCACCTGCACCGTTACCTATACGACTTGACGTTCCCTCGGCACTCTCTTGCTGACTCTGTTCGTTTCCCATCTGTTTCTAAATACTCTCTTCTAGATCTTAATTAAAGAATATCGTCACAGTTGAAGAATAGATTATATACATCCAAATCAAATGATACATTTCGTTTAATTTCCACACACACACACATACACACACGCACACGACAAACACCAAAACCCGTGTTAACAATATCGAATGCCTGGAATGCAGGAGAGAAACTATCCTACTTGTGTGGCTAACCCTGTGTTGCCAATATTACTCACTAGAGGGCATTGTTCATAGTTTATTCTATGCCGGCAAAACTATTTATTATTATGAATCGCTCGCATTTTATGCATTTTCTCTTTATTAGTTCTTTGCTTTTGTAGCGCTCGCCCGTCCTTATAATAACCATTTTATACGAAGATTCTTTATATTATACGAATATAAATATTGTGTTTAAAAGATCTGTAAATAAAACACATCTTTCGCCCGTCTCTCCTCCCCTTTTTCAATTTAGATTGGTTCATTTTAATTGTTTCTCTATCGTAATTTCCTTAATAAACAAAATAAACGTATTGAAATCTTGAAATTTCTCATCACTGGAGTGAATTTTCTTTTCGGGCATTAACTAGAACAGTCACAATCGATTATCATTAAAATCAACGTTATAATGTAGCATTAAATATCATTTAAAAATTGAGTAAATTATTATAATTAATTTATTAAAATGTTTGCTAAAAATTACGCGAAATTATTAGAAAATTTTGCAATTCAATTACTTACACTATGTTAAAAATATATATACATAATTTCTAAACACTTTTTATNGAAAAATTAGTGATAATTTAAAAACTTGAAAATTCAGTTAACAAAAATATAAATTAAATAGCTAAATAAACATTAAATAGGAATTTATATTCCTAAAAATTGATGGTCTTTTAATAAAATTCTGTAATGAAATGATTTTGGTAGAAAAATCTGAGCATTTTTTTCACTTAGCTCTTTTAAATAGAAAATAAAAGTTTTGATTAATAAGTATTTCAATAAAACTTGTATAAGAAAAAAGGCAATACTTTTTTCAGGTTGCTGTAAATATAATACTTATTGATTTGATAAAAATTTAATAACAAAGTATTTTAACAGAGTAATTTAATAACAGAGAGAGAGAGAACTTTAACAATAAAGTTCAACTTAAACTTTGTTATTATATATCAAAGTTCAGACTAAAAGTAAGTATTTTTTCCCCTTAGAACATTAAAAGTTGAAATTATGGTTTATTTTTGTCATGTATATAATATATCCAATTTATTTTTCACATTATAGAATATTTTGATTGTTAGGTAAAATTTAATATTCAAAATAATCATAGATATATAAGCATTATATATGTGTATAAAAAAATTCAATAACATTAGACATTTCAATTTATTAAAAAATTTTTACTATTTTATAAATATTTTTGATGTAAATCTGTAGGCAGATGAAAGTACTTTGAATTTCATTCTTGAAAGAAAATGGTAAACAAGAAAGAGAGAATTACATTTGGAGAAACAAAAACACACTACAGTCAAGAATTTACAATCAGTAATGTGAAAGAATATTGTGATAGAAATCTTGTTTGAAAAGATAAAATAAGTATTTGGTAAGAAATAGAAAATAAAAATAAATGTCCAAAATTTAAATCTATTGATTATTGAAAAATAGAAATCTCTAGATAAAAAAAAAATTGAATGCTCAAGGATAAAAAACTTTTTAGATAATTTTCTTTTCCATGTTGATTAATATTAGGATACAGAAACCAATTCTTACAAATATTCCTTTTTTTCAATTTCTAAAATAGTATCTTGTATGATGATTTTTAGTTTTGTTTGAGAGAATTTTTTCTAATTTCATAGCTCGGCATACTATTGATTAATTTATTTTAAACTATTTAAATGTATAAAAAAAGAAATCAATTACTGAAGTTAATTAGTGTGATTTTTCTGATTCTTTTTCTCCATTTATTTACATATCATCTCTGATGATAAATATTTACTTTAAATTTAAATTGTAAAATATAAATTAAAAAAAATTAGTCACAATCATAAATAAAATTTAAAAATAATCAATAATAAGAGAAGTGTTACTGTTAAATTATTTATTAGCTAGTTGTAAAACACCAACCCTACACTGTCATTACTTCAATTTACATGTAAAAGAAACTTTTTTAGTCAATAAATAAAGTAGGAAAATATTTTTTAAATTTGTTAATGTAATTGTTTAACAAATAAAGCTTGATAAAAGTAAAAATTGGCAGAAGGTTAAATCATCATCACTGTAAAACAGCTTTTATTTATCTAAAAAAACCCTAATTGAAATATGTACTATTTACTTTTAAAATAATTTTTCCGTTTTAAAGTTTTATTTCATTTAAAATCTTAAAACAAATACCGAATTATATTTGTCAATCTTTTTCTTTGTAAGTAAAAAACATGGATCCTTTTATAGTGTCTCTATGTTATATTTTATTATTTTAATAACTATATCACTGTAATTGCATTATAAATATGTTTTGATTACTTCCAGAAACTTATTTAGGAAAAGAAAAATTTGTATGTTTAATAAAAAGAATTATGACTTACAAATAAAACTACATAATGCAAAATCCAATAATGTTCCATACATTATTAGTAAGACATTTTAAATGACCTTTCAATCTTGTTTTTGTCAGTCTGGTTTGGGTAATACAATTTAAACAAACAAAAATTCAAATTAATAAATCATCAATCACATGTAAAATTAAGTGAGAACTATAAAATATTATGAATAAAATATATTACCCAAAAAAACTGTTTATTATAGTAATAAATCTGAATATTTAAACATTTTTTATGTATGGAATATTTAAATGTTATCTGATGAAGTATTTCTTATAATTGGCAAGAATTCAATATCTTTAGCTCTTTAGCATTAAAGTAGTTCAAGTATTTTTGTGTTTTTGTATTCATAATTTGATAAAATTCTGAAACTTTATTGTCAGGCTTGTCTTTGATCCATTGAATAATTTTTCTGTTACAAATTAATTTTTCAATTATTTGTATAGCATTTTAAAATAATAATCAAACAATCTTGGTGTAAAAATATTTAAAAATATATTTAAAAAATGAGCAACTTTACAAATATTTTTTCAGTTATTGTTGAATAATTGTCCAGTTTCACTTCACTTTATATTATTAAAACATTTGTCATTCCATTAATAATTTTTTGTAAAATAGTTATAAAGGATTTTCAAAAGTCTTTAAAATAAAATTCAAGAAGAAAAATACTATATAATATATATAAAATGATAAATTCATTCAAAAATAGACAATATATGTGTTTTCTTAATCTATGTTAAATGTTGTACAATGATATTTCTGTAACCAAGTAAATATCTACTGAATGGCATTTCTTTAAATATAGGATTTCTAGTTATTTTCCACCAACACTTTAACAATATTAAAATGTTCTTCTTGCAAAATCCATGTAAAAGCTGGGCATGTGTAGAGATTTATAAAAACATATACATTTTGTCAAAAGTCTGGTGTGTATTCTTTTGTCTTTTGTTTATATCTATTACTATACAACAAAATCCAATAAGTGTATACATGTTCAAAAAAAAAAAAAAAACTGATTACTAACAAATGATGATAATTCAATTATTATAATGAAAAAATAACTTTTTTATTTTGTAGATCCATAAGCTGAAATTACAGATGGTTAATCAAAACTGCTTAAATTTTTTAAAGTAAACATCTCTTTAATGTATACAGTAACGAAAACACCAATTTAAGATAATCATAGAAAAAAATGTTCTATGAAAATTACTCTAATTTTCATAGAACTCTAAAAGGGGCCTCTAGGCCAGCCTTTTCACAAGGCTGTGGTCTGGAAGCCTTAAGCTCATGACCCCTAAGTTTTACATTTTCATTCTCGATTACGGATAGATAGATGACAATGGAAACCTACAGATCTGCAATTTGAAACCAGCAGCCAATAAACTTTAATAAGACAAGTAATTCTGTATTAGAAATGATGACTATATATTCTTTTGAATAAATATCTAATATGATTCTAGAAAAATATTAACTAGAAAAATTAGTGATAATTTAAAAACTTGAAAATTCAGTTAACAAAAATATAAATTAAATAGCTAAATAAACATTAAATAGGAATTTATATTCCTAAAAATTGATGGTCTTTTAATAAAATTCTGTAATGAAATGATTTTGGTAGAAAAATCTGAGCATTTTTTTCACTTAGCTCTTTTAAATAGAAAATAAAAGTTTTGATTAATAAGTATTTCAATAAAACTTGTATAAGAAAAAAGGCAATACTTTTTTCAGGTTGCTGTAAATATAATACTTATTGATTTGATAAAAATTTAATAACAAAGTATTTTAACAGAGTAATTTAATAACAGAGAGAGAGAGAACTTTAACAATAAAGTTCAACTTAAACTTTGTTATTATATATCAAAGTTCAGACTAAAAGTAAGTATTTTTTCCCCTTAGAACATTAAAAGTTGAAATTATGGTTTATTTTTGTCATGTATATAATATATCCAATTTATTTTTCACATTATAGAATATTTTGATTGTTAGGTAAAATTTAATATTCAAAATAATCATAGATATATAAGCCTATATATCTCTGGTAAATGTCAACATTAAAAACATATATATAAATCACTTTGATTTATATATATATATATGTATATTGCAATTTAATTCTTTTTTATTATATATAAAATTTTCAAATCTATATTATACTTAGGTAAAGCATGTAATTTATACCTTGAAAATTTAAAGATGTATTTTAAGAAATTAAGTTTTTTTTTTTAATTTCTAAGAAGCTGATGAAATTAACTTTGTTTCTTAACTAAAATAAATAAATTAAACAAAAATATGGACTCAAGACTGTTGTTTTAATAATTTGTATAAATTATAAACATTTACTATTTGTAAACAGTTTTACTAGGCCTAAAGTCACAAATTTTAACAAGGAACTTGGAGATTTTATCTTCAGTTTAACTTTGTTCAGAAATGATACTTCTTTCTGAGGTCACTATTCATCCAAGAATGAATAGTGAACCTCAGAAAGAAGAAAACTTTAGATGATTGTTAGGAACTGTATCAAAATGACCAAATTTGGTTAGATATCAATGCTCCTGATGAAAGGAAAGGTATAAAAGGAGAAACAACGCGTAAAGAAAGGTTCCTCATTGAAAGATTCCACACAGGGTCCCAAAGTATCATAGTGTGTGTCCTCTTCAAAAGAATCATCCATTGACACTGCATTCCCCCCAATGGAGATTACAGAAGTGTATTTAACGACTGCAAGGACCATATGGATTATAAGAAAGGAGTACAAGGATTATATTTCCAATCAAGTTAACAATTAAAAGAAAGAATAAACTCGTCTAAAAAAATTAAGTCTAGTCAACAATTTAACGCATTTACTGTCACACAAATCGAATGTAAAACCTCTCTCCAGTAGTTAGACAAACAGTTTATTTTTCAGAAAAATTTTGATGTTATATGCTAGTGTTTTGAAATGCCTATAATAAATTACTTTATTATATCTCTACCTGCATTACTGAATACGAGAAGATTATAGAACATTTTGGAATTTCTGTTTGGCAAATTTAAATTCTGTTAGTTTGATCCTGAAGAAGGTCTGTTAATCTGACTGAAAACGTTCAATAAGTTTTTAAAATAGACTAGATTTTAAAGGTATTTGGAGTTTATTAATAAATTACTTTATATTTATCTTCTATGTTGTCTCATCAAATTCCTTCTCCATTCTCTTAGTCCAAATCCCCATATGAGACCACTTGAGATTAAGAGGGTTTTCTTGCAAGCCAACAATCATAAGTGGTGTCAGAATATTCTAATGTCACTTATGATTTAATATTAATATTCTGAATATAAACACTTATATCTGGTAATGATACCTCGTACGTGTATATAGGCAGAAATTTTAATGGCCATTTCAACCTCATCCATCCTGACATAGTTAAGGCAAATCAGCACAGTCACTCCCATTAGATGTCACAAATATCTTAAGTCAGTCACTAATAATTTATTTTAAAATGATAAAACCATTGTCATTATATAATACATATATAAAAATAACACATCTAAAACTTAGCATAATACTCATGTATGGGATGAAATTTGAAGAAATAGCATTTATGTATCTTAAAATATAAAATATAAATTTTTGTAGTGATAATTAAAATTTTCAAATGATTAAGATTAATTTTCATATAAGCACATTACATCAAAATAAGTGAAACTGTTAATGTGATAATGCATAATAAATGAATTTAAAATACTGTTTTTTTTTATTTTAATTTGTAAAATACAATTTAATCTGAAATTCATACATAGATATATATATATTTATATGTAGATCAATTATATTTATTCATGCATCATTCTCATACACTTTAAGGGCATTGTTAATACATGTCATACAGAAATTTACAGCAAAAATAAATTGTAGAATAAAGAAAAATTTTCTGTAGAATAAAATTAAAAAACATTATATCGTAATCTAACACAATCTCACTTTATTATAAAACCAATAACAGAGATGAGTTTAATTTAAAACGTTTTTACAAAAAAAATATCATCAGACTTTTGTAAACATATTTGTAATTATATATATGTATAATATATACATTAATTTCAATATTCAAAAACTGAGTTCTTGATTATTGCTGAATTCATTTGAGTATTGCTTATCAAGCAATCAGATTTAAAAATGTCACATCATTTATGATTATTTTAAAACAGTCAGAGAAAAATTTGTTTTTTAATCCAAGTACTCAGTCTTTGAATGTGTCAAATTTCAAAAGAATAAATTTAAAATTTCTCAATACTGTCACGCATACATCATTCTTTCAGAACATTTGATTTCTCAAATATGTTAATTGATAATTATCATACTATAATCACCCAAACCTTAATCCTAAATATAAAATTTCTACTTTACCATTACTAGTAAGCTACATGTACTTTTACAGAAAATATAATGAAACTATTTTCCCAATGAATAATATGAAATTTAGATTTAATGAAAATAAAATCACACTGACATATGTTACTATTTTCACATCTATGAAAATTTTAGCACCCTAGAGAATTATTGAGATTGATAGCTAGAATATCCCTGGTTTTGATCGTATCCATAAGGCTGCGGTTGTGCAGAAGATGGAGGAGGCATTTGACTGTGCAGACCACCTGCTGACGGTGGGCCTAAATGACTCTGAGATATTCCTGGATGCCCTCCTTGTGAAGGTGGTCGATAGTGTGGATATCCCTGCTGTCCGTAACCTGGAGGATAACGAGACTGTTGAGGTGGTGGTGTTGAACCTTGAGGAGCTGAATTTGCATTAGGATGTACGTATCCAGCCTGTTGTGTGGTGTTAGATCCATAATTTTGTTGTGTTGTAGGATAATTTGCCTGAGTTGATGGTGAAGTGTAATTAGATTGTGAATGAGGCATATAATTTTGAGACTGAGGAGAAGCAGCATAGTTTGGTTGTGAAGAAGGAGCAGAAGAATAAGGTTGATTGTTAGTAGAAGAATACCATTGGCTTTGAGAATTAGCTTGAGGAGGTCCATATGTTTGATTTGATTGTGAATATGTTTGTGTCTGAGATGTTTGTGGGTTATAAGTTTGAGATTGAGGTTGGGTGTTTGGCACAGTTGTCTGTACGTAACCTTGAGGTTGTGTAGTTGTTGTTGTTGGTGGATAATTCTGAGTCTGAGTTTGTGGTGTAGTTGTTGATCCATAATTTTGTGTTTGAGTCTGGGGAACTGGAGCCTGTGTAGCAGACTGTGTTTGAGTAGTGGGTACACTAGGATAATTTTGTGTTGAAGGCTGATAAGATGATGATGGATGATTTTGAGCAGTATATGTTCCTGAAGGAGGATTACCAGTACCATATTGAGCATGAGGCTGTTGTTGAGGTGTTGCAGATGGAGGATAATTTCCTTGTTGAAACTGCTGATTTCCTGTAAATTAAAATATAAAAATATATGTATAAATATAATATAATAATAAATGATCATAAATACTCAATATCATTAATATATACAAAAAGAATTTTTTAAACAAGTTAAAATTTAAAAAACTGAATTAATTTTGCATATTTTATGGTACATTTTCAGTAGTTTTATAACAAAAATTATGTTAAATTATTAGTTAATAAAGTTTATTATGTTGTAAAAATTATAAATACAGTTGAAACTCATTAACACAGATAGTCACAGTAGCTATGAACTTGTTCATGTTAAAAAAGTTCATGTTTTCAATCTCTATTAATCTTTTATTTACTGAACAAATGACTATCTCCAGTCAAGATACACTTTCCTTCATCCCACACTTGTGCATTTTAAACAATGCAAACACAAAATGTGAAAAATTTTTATTGAAATCTTCAACTTCACACAATAATTGAGAAAATTTACAAAAATAAGCTTTAGTTTGCATTAAGAAAAAGTATTTTCCTGTAAGTGATCATCATCAGATTATTTAAAACAGAAGTTTACATTAAATGTGTTCATGTAAAAAAAGTATTGTAATATATATGAAATTTGAAAGGAAATTGGAAAACAGTTCATGATAAAAATAATTCATGCTCTGCAGGTTTGTATTATTAATAAAATGGTTGGATAGTATTAGCACCAAATAAATTTTTTATAACAAATAACATGTCATATACAAGATTTGGCAATGAGATTTAAGTGCATTAAGGAAATAAGTGATATGACTCTCAAACCAAGAACTATAATCAAATTTCTTGTGGAATCAGGCAAAAATGGGGAAGGCAATAAATTAGCAGTTTCAATATGCTCTGAGATTAAGAAGCAGAACAAATAATGAGTAGAAAAAGGTTGAGCAATACCACAGAAAACCCAAATGACAAAATCAAAAACTTAACTTATTTCTTTGATATCTATAGTGTACAAGGAATATAAGTAATCAAACATTCAATAAAGAATTTTATCTCAGGCTTATCAGATGAAAAATTATGAATGGAGGCTAAATCATTCTGAAAAGGTCAACATTACAGATGTAGTAAATATGTTGAAGTAAATATAATTTAAAAAAAATCAATCTATTATTTCAAAAAACAAATTTATTATTGTATTTTTCAGGATTTATTTCAATTTTGATGTTAATTGCTGGATTTTTGTTTTGTAAAACAGAAGAAAGATATTTTTTGAGGTCAAAGTGATAACATTTCTTTCACATGGTATCTGAAAAGAATGTTTTCCTTTTAAATATCAAATGGTAATTCTAGTCTCAATGATCTTTCAAAGGCATATGTCCATTGTGTCCAACCAAAATTGATAAAGATTGACAAAGTTTTTGGCCCGTAAACAAACTTCACTTCTCTTCAAGGTCTTAAACACTCCAGGCCATGCAGAGAAGTCTCAAACAATTTCCCCCACCCATTTTTTGACTGTCTAGCTACTTTGTCTTTGAGTGTTTTAACAAAACAAAAAATGTTTTGTACTAATTTTGAGACGCTACAACTTTGTATCTGATGTCTGCTGTCTTTCATAGAAACTGAGATAGGATTTGGTCTCTTGAGAAAGAGTGTTGGGGTGCCCAACTCCCCCTTCTCATGTTAGCAAAAAATAACTTTTTTAAAATTTTAAAAACCATAAAGCAATATTAAATTCTTATTTGTACACAATTACATGTTATTATTATTGACATTATTAAATTTAATTATTAAATATCATATCTGATCTGTAGAGCAGGTACATAAGATGTAAACTATTATTTTTCAATTTACTGCATTATTATTACATCAACATGAAATGAGAAAACTGATAAGTGAGTTAGCATGATAATTATTCAATATTTCTATATTGGAATATGGAATTAAATAAAGTAAAATTTTTAAAACTAGTTTTGCTAGTTTTTTTTATTATATTTTATTTTTTATAAAAATTTTAATAAATAATTTTTAAAAAAATTAATTTTAATGAAATACAAATAAATAAATGGCCTGAATCAGTTAATAGAAATATTTCAATAATAAATTACTTCTCTCATTCACTTCTTTTTTAAAATGTAGTTTAATATAGTTAAATGTAGAAAGCCATATTTCAATTCAATTCAAATTCTCTCTTTTATTTAAGGAGATGCATTTTGAACATTCTTTGTCCCCTCTTCAGTTGTCTACATTTTACTTTATGATGCTGTATTTATTTTTATACATTAAAATTACTTTTAGAAATGTAAAAAGAGACTGAAAAGTTACAAAGAATGCCCAAAATGCATTTTCCTAGATAAAAGAGAATTTGAGTTGGTGTGTGGTTTCCTAAAATAAAAACTATTACACAAGTTTTATTAAAATTATATTAACAATAATGCATTAAAATTAGATTGTTGATTAATCCTAAAAATTTGAAACTTGGTAAAAATAGCAAACTTGAAAGACAATATCAGTAAGAAATAATCTGATTAAGCTTATGATGCAGACCATAAGTCTTCCAAATTCATCATTTTCTTTTTACTTTTGTATCTATGGAAAGAAGTTGGAGTTGTTTTTACTCTAGAAATGTCATCATCATCACTTTTCTGTACTTCAGTTTGCACAATTTTGTGAATTTAATGTTTATCATAACAACGTTAACAACAAAAATGTGATGCAGTAGCATCACATTTTTGTTGTTAACGTTGTTATGAACAGATACAGCAAATGACCATTGGTCATTTGCTGTATCTGTTCATAACAAATCTTTTAGGTTTATCAATGGTCATAATAAATCTTTTAGGTTGTCAATGGTCATTTGCTGTATCTGTTCATAATATAAATCTTTTAGGTTTGTTGTAAGTGGACAAGAGTACATTGTGCACTCTTGTGCACTTGTCCTCACTGACTTCATACTTTCCTGGCTACCTGCAAGAGTAAATTTTAGTTTTGTCTTTGCATTATAACTGTATGCACCTGTTCTTGCAGTTGCAGTACAGTTTTGATAAGAAGCCTTCTTGTAAGTAGTTGCTTACTAGACACAGATTTTCTTTCTTTGGTACTGAATGAGGTAATATCAGATACTTGTATTTATTATAAATATCTTATTTGCAGTAGATTGATATAAAATGGCTTTGGGTAGAAGAAGAATGAGACATAAAAATGACAATTTTCAGGAAGTGCTAACACAATGATATGAAGCATCAAACAAACCCAGTTATGATTGTTGCTCAGTCGATGGTGGTAGTGATTTTGTTCCAGATCCAGTGCATTCAATGGTTTATGAAAATTCATCTGACAGCAAAGTCAAAATTGACAAAGAAGGAAGAGCTACAGATAGTGATTCTGCTGCAACGCTAGGTGAATAAATATCAATAGTTTTTTGTGCTTCTGACACAAACCAAAACTCTATTTCACAATATTGTTGTTTTGTATCTGATCCAAAATGCCACAATGAGGTTTTCTTTCTGTGATTGAAGTGTGGACAAAGTTTATATCAAAAGATTGTTTGCAAAAAACTCTTATTTGTACAAACAGATTGCCAAGGTGAGAATGTTATGCAAGACATAAATCTAAATTGATATACAGCCAGATGAAATGAATGCATTTTTTATATTGTAGCTAATGCTGAGAAACAGTGAGATACTGCAGTAAGAAAATTATTTTTTGGATAAAATTCCCTGTGCAGGCAATGATGTCTGTAAACCAATTTGATAACATACAAAGGTTTATTAGATTCAATGACAAAAGAACAAAAAACTGATGAACTGACAATTTGCTACATTTGGAATCCATTTCTAGTGCAATGCTTGATAGTTATTATTCGAAAGATGAATCTGACATTGATGAATAACTGCTTGGATTTTGCAGACATTGTTCATTTATTCTGTACATGCTGAACAAACTGGCAAAATACATCAAATTGTTTTGGTTATGTAAAAGTGAAACTAATAATGCCACTGAGAGTCTGGATTATGTTGTTAACCAACTTGACAAATTTGTGCAATGTAATTTGGGTGAAACTGTAGTAACTACACTTATCAGTAGCATCAAAAACAGTTCTAGAAATTTAACATGTGACAATTTATTATTGTACAACTTTTTCAGAGATTACTGAAAATTGGAATTAGTGCTGTTGAAGCAAGCCATCAATACAAGAGAAAGATTCCAGAAAGATGAAGTGTATTCATCTTTACTTTACTTTAGTAAATTATGTTCTCAAAAAGAGCTAAGCAATAACTTTACTAAACATGCTGCACCTTGATGCTAGAGTAAATGAGGAGAGCCTCAAGGAAAAGCTGAAAATTCTATAATAAATGAAAAGGAGGTAGTGATTAAATGGACCAAATGATAGGAATCTATATTTATAAAAGACAAAATGACATAATGGTCATTTTAGATATCACTGCAGCAAATGCATTATTCTTAAATATGGAGGAACGTCCATATTTGGAAAATGGCAAGATTCATTACCATAAACTTTTCTTGAAAGAACTTGGAGTGTGCCTTTAGCAACAATCCTAAAACACAGCAAAAATGTTTTCTATCATTTTAATAACTATAACGTTTTTGATTATTTTTAATGAACTTCCTCAAGTAAAATACATAATGGAATGCCAATGTCCTAGAATACAAATTTTAAACATTGCAATATTACTGTTAACCAATCATAAAAAAGAATAAACTACTATGAACTAATTTTAAAATAACTCAAAAATAATAAGACAAATAGTAACATAACAAATAAAGTAAAACAATACTGAACATAAACATATACAACTACAATGCATAAAACTCCTTTTTTGAATATCCAATGAGCAAATGACTTGTAGCCCCATGACAAATATGACATGGACCGTTTAGCTTTTTACTTTATTTACTTTATTTATTTTCTTTATTCTTGTATTTATTGTAGTTGTCCCATATATATTTATGTTTAGTATTGATTTTATTTATTCATTATGTTATTTTTGAGTCATTATTTTAAAATTAGTTCATAGTTATGCAGTCTTTTTTTATGAT